CCTCCCTTTCTTCATGTGTTCAATACCCTGTGTCATTCCACGTTATTACAAATAACTTCATTTCTGGACATTTATGGTTTGATTTCTTTGTATGTATGGATCACTTGGGTTGTTACCAACATCTGGTGAAAATTTCATGTCATTAGCACCTCTAGTAATATATTTACTGAGAAAAATGTTGACGTGTTCAATACTTACTTTACCCGCTGTATACAGCATTTTCATAACAACTGAAAGTAACACGGTTACTCACTTGTGGAATAGAATCGAACTATCTGACTGGAAAATRCATAATATCTCCATTTTTAATGTAATAAACGCATCAGAAGCTCCAGGAAACRGTTTGTATATCGCTGATGATTCAAACTTGACACTATCAGCTGGCACCTGTTAAACAAATATAAAACTAGTTAGCTTGGGTTTATTTATTATGGCTGCCTGGTTAACTAGTTATTCCTCCTATTATTAGACCGTTTAATGTGGAGCTGCAGTTAGTTATGCAAAGTAGTTRGCTAATGTTTGTTGTTTATTTACAGGAAGCTGCCTGTTTTCAACAAGTTTTGCTTTAAATGGTCTGATAAYGACCGTGTTGAACTTCMCGTTTGAGAAAAACAAAACTGACCGTTTTCCTGTTTTTGGAGAACAGAATGAAAACAAAAACTATTCGTTTTTAAAATGAAAAAACAAATGACCATGTCGTRGCAGGATTTATTAAGAATGCAGAAACACGTTGGAATAAATGCACAAAAGTCTGCGTGTATGGCCGTCAATGATGATATTAAAGGAGCAACAACATAAACAGAAGTCGATCAAGGAAATCTGTCAATTGTGGCTGCCGCGTCAGTGCAGAGCAGCCGATAATATAACATCCTGTAACACGTTTACAACCAATCACCTTTCAACAACTGTAACACCTAACCAATGACAGAGCTATCTATTTTAACAGTCCAACCAATGATTGTCAAAGATGAGGCAATAGAGGGAGTGAGGATAACCTTGCGTTTTTCAAATGTGYGCCATTTGCTGCTTTTTTCAGGGCTTTTGGCCGAGAGATGGTGAAGAGGAACATCGGCACGGTGGTGGTCGGCTTCCCAGCGACGCCCATCATCGAGTCAAGAGCTCGTTTCTGCGTCTCTGCCGCTCACACCAAAGAGATGCTCGATAGAGTAAGTCGTGTTTTCTTCCCCGCTGGATCAAATTCAAGGGATGTTTCGGCGCGGACCGGTTCTTGCCAGGCAGCTGCCTTTAATCTGCCGCCGAATTTCAGAATCAAGGCTTCCAGTGTGTTTTTAATAAAGCACCTAGAGCATTAAACTGTCTTTAAAGCTTAATGTGCGGTGCCAGACTTTTATTCCAGCTGCTCTGTTTCTTCATTTATCTTAGCAAGCAGCACGTCAGCACCGTTTGTTATAGTCCATTTAAAGGGGCATCAGCCTGCGAGTGTAGAGCACACAGAGGAGCCGCCTTTTTTTTTTTTTCAGCCCTCGTTTCTCAAACTGTGGAATCAGAGGGGAAAAAAAGAGAAGGTAAATTGTTTCCAGGTGTCCTGCAGTGTGTTTCAACAATGATGCATTTTCTGGTGGGGGGAAAATAAGTAGAAGAGTTTCTGTTTTTTTCACCTTTCTCCTCTAGTTTTCACCTCTTCACATCAAAAACCCRGACTTGCTATTAACCAAAGCAAATTGAGTTTAGATAAACGTCACATTCCCCGTTTGCTGTTTCAGGCACTGGAGGCCATCAGCGAAGTGGGGGACCTGCTGCAGCTAAAGTACTCCAGACGGGAACAGCCGCTTCCCTCCTTGGGATGGATATCTGAGGAGAGCCACCTCCAGGACTGAGCATCACCTTACCTCACCATTTCACTACTTCCAGTTACTGAAACTCCTCATAACTTCTGTATTTTTATTTTTTGTAGTCCTCTTTTTTTTTTTTCCGATGAGCCAGTCTCCACGCTCAGCTGCTTTATATCTTTTTATAGGAGATTCCCCTCCCCTCAGTCATGCTCAGGCTCGCAGCTGATTCACCCGTACCCTGGCAGGATGTCCGCATCGTGACAAACTGTTTCCAGGGCAGCCTTCAGTCATTCGTTCTTTCACTCGAGTCTTTTCCCCGTGTTTATTTGTGCAATAATATCCACAAAGTTGACTTTTTAAAACAAAGTAGGCAGCACTCTGCTTTGAGTTCTTGCTCGATGCACAGACAAGGAAGTTAATGTAAATGATATTTATTACATATTTAACATCGCCTTAGCATCCCATACCCAAACGTCAGATACATCTGACTGCTTCTTTTACTTGAACAAAGTATGTAGATTATTTGGTTCTTTTCCTAACCAAAAGATGTATATGTATAAATATATTTTCTAACTTTTTTTTCTTGAAATGCAAAACAGATGTCCCCCTTTATCCCAAATAATAAAAAAGTGTATATATGTGGTGTAACGGTAAGGAATTCCAGGGAGCGAGAATGACGAATATTTTATTACTGCTCATTTTCTAGAAATATTTTCAGCCTAATTTTACTGTTTACACCTGCGTTCAAACGTTTTGAGCCTAGTGTCTTTAACATTTCTGTCATCTAATGAATTACATGTGTGATTTATTATTATTTTTTTCCATTTACGCTCACTAAAGTGCTTTTATGTAAATGTCTAACTTGGATCTGTATGTATGACGATGCAACTCCCATCTGATTTTACAGATTTATTTATTTAAATTGTTTTTTTTTTTTTTCGACAAACCATTATCTGAAGGGCAGCTCCAGATGTGCTCTGGTAGAGAGTTTTTATTGTCTCAGTTTCAGCACTGCACCACTGACGAGCTCTTGAAACGCTCAGATGACGTGGGCAGGAAAATTAGCAAAAATTCTCGCTATGTAAACTTAGCGCAAAAAGTTAGGAAATTTGTGTTTGGTCAATTATTTCTTTGTAGTAATACTGATTTTTGGCATTAAATTCTATTTCATTTAGAATGCCTGTTTATTTCTCCTTAAATGTATGCATAAAGAAGGTGTATCTGGGGTTGCGCTAATGAAAATCTTAAATCTCTGCCAAAGTCAAACAGCTTATTCTACTATTAACTCTTATATAGACTGGATGATTAAATTCTTAAGAAGTGCGACTTAATGGCAATTTAACAATTTGTTCACTTATTAAACAGGAGACTCAGTAGCATGTGGAAGAACCATATACAGCCACAACCACTTCCTCGTGCTGCTTCTCAGCTTGGTTGTACGCAGCTGTGAGATGGCATCTCATTCTTTAACCAGGGGTTGTTGTAAGTCATCCAACAGGTTTGTGATGACCGTAAATAAGCCAACACAAGCTAAATTTAGCTAATGTTTTGTTAGCGCGACATACAATTGCATTTAATGAACAAATGTTTAAGTGGGAATAAACCGGCTCTCCAATGGCCTAGAGGTATTGTTAAAACAAAGAAATAATACACAAACATTTATTTTGGTCTTTTTTGCTCTGTTTATTATTTATATTTATATATTTTTTTATTCTCATAATTTAACACTTGTCATGATCCTTATCACTGACATTCCATATCTACCTGTTTTCTGTTATTGTTTTGGTCCTACATGTAATTTAAATGTTTTATGTTGTCATTAATACTATAAACACGAGGTCTGGTAATTTGTTCTAACAAATGTATGAATGAACCAAAAAGGAAAAACGAGCCTTGTTTGTTTATTTTTTTGTTTTGGCATTTTATGTGCAACACATTTCAGCATTGTCCCTTTTTTTATTTTCATTTAATGTTTATTTTGTAATGGCTCTGACTCACGTGCTTTTTAATGATAGTACCTTTTTTTTTAGAAGCATTTATGAAATGTGGAAAACCTGACTGATCTGCATGCGTTCCTCAGGAAAATGCGTCAACAAATGAATTTTCTTTTCATCAAAGTTTCCTCCGACTGCAGGAGCATGCGCTATGTTAAGTCTCAACATTTCTGCCTGTTGAAGCAAAAAATAATAATCATTACAAACAGCAACAAGCCTGTTTGTTCACTGCCAGGTTTCCCCTCATTGGACCTGCAGATTTAATATTGGGGGATTATTCAAATGCAGCATGTGTGGCTCTGGATAAGAGTAGCATTCACCTCCTGAGCTGCGACACGTACAGTATCTGCTGCTTTCCCACTCTGGAATTGTAATTTGAGTTGAAGATAAACCTCTTAAAGGAGTTTGTGAAGCCATAATGTTTGATGGAAATATTGCCGCAAAGATTAAATCACTTGAATCTGAATTTACTTCTGGGGTTGGTTTCTTTATTTACCACAAATGGAGAGGAAATACTTTAAAATCGCTTAACAAAGTCTTTGAAAAGATGAGCTCGCTAACACAATTCAACTCGGGCCAGTTTTTTTTTTCTCTGCAAAGGCCTCAGCTTTAATGTAAAGAAATAAACAGAAATGTTTAGACATATAGGCTGGTAAATAAACTATATGTAATCTATTTATTCTTATGTTGCATTTAAGTCAAATGTAAGAACTTCATAATATTTCTAAATCATCACTGAGAAATTATGTCTAATGTGTTAGTAAGTTTAATTAGTCCAAAACTGACTACAAGAAAATGTGTCGCATCAAAACCAGTGTATGGGGGCACCAAGTGTGATAAATAAAATGCTAAAAAAGATCACATTTTGTTATAAAGCTAACTGTTATATGTGAGCCATCACATTGAAACGAGGATTAAGTCCAAAAATGGTATAAAGAGAAATAGGCAAATATAGTGTTTTGACTATAATGTTAACAAAAATTGCATTTTGTCAAAATATAATGAATAAAAGCCTTATCAATGTCTCATTTGAATGAACTGTCTGAAATATAATCCATAAAACAAAAATTTGAAGCACTTTTTTTGAGTAATAGCAACAAAAAAAACCAGATTTTGAGGAAAAACGCCTTAAAAATTTAAGATTTTCCTTGCGAGCTAGCAAAGTTTTGTTTCTTTCCAGCTGGGAAATCTCAATATTTAAATATAATTAGAGGTTTCCTCTTTATAAGGACATCAAAACTTCCTCATTAAAATGACACGAAATTAGGA